AGCTCGCCCTCCCGCACGGCGCCCGTCAGCTCACACAGCCCGTGGTAGGTCAGCTGGGAGGCCGTGGACTCCAGGAACTGCTCTGCCACCAGCCCTGGGGAGGGGACAGAAGGGTGGGAGAAGGCTCTGGGCATCAATCCCCCCAAATCTGGGAGGCAGGGGGGCTGGGGGTCGTTACCTTCGCTCACCAGGCTGGAGTCGCTGGCCTGTTTGCAGGTGATGATCTTCTCCACCAGCTGGTTGTAGCTCAGCTTGCCCACGGCTTGGACCACCTCTGGGGTCTGCAGGGAGGAGATTGGCCCAAGGAGGGGTGAGTACTGGTCAGCAGGGACCTGTTCTCCCACCAGCAGCAGCAGCTCAGGGCGAGGGGAGGATGGATGAACCTTCCTCAACCAGCTGGAAAGCTGCTCCATCCAAGAAGCTGAGCTGGTGGCTTCCAAGGTGCAGAAGGATCCATCATGGAAGGGTTTGGGTGGGAAGGGATCTTCAAGGATCATCTAGACCCTGCCTTGGTCATGGGCAGGGACATCTTTCACTAGATCAAGCTGCTCAAAGCCCTGTTCATAGCTCCACAGGAGGGTTATAAAGGACCTTCAAAGACCTTCTAGTCCAACCTCTTGACTCGGGCAGGGGCATCTCCCACTAGGTCAGGTTCAAAGCCCCATCCCTTGCAACACAGAAATCCACAAGCAGGGACACCTTCCACTCAAGCTGACCCTCAACACTCCCAAGAACATGGCATCCACAGCTCCTCCAGCATCTCACCACCCCTCAGCTCATCCCCTGGGCCCACAGAGGTCACCAGGAGAGCCGTGGGGCCAGCTCACCTGGGGGTCCACCAGCCAGCCGTGGTAGAGAGGGACGTTGAGGAGGTCAAAGATGATGCACTCGGGGGTGTACTCGAAGTCAGAGACACCCGTGAACCTCACGTTGACATCCAGCCCCGTGGAGAGCTTGGGCAGCACCATCATGGTGTCGTTGACGTTCTGGGTGGGGAGAAGACACTGGGGGCTTTGCTCAGGACCTCAAACTGCCACCCCAAGTGCCACCACGGCCACCAACGCTCCCCGAGGTGACAGGGATCAGGTTGGGGGGGGGTTGG